GAACGAACTGAACGACGTGTTCGGAGGAAGCCCACGGTTGGATAAGCTGAAAGACATCGTTGATGTTGTGACGTTTTCCGATATGTACAGAAATGACCTGCGTTGGCGAAACTTGAGGGATGCGATTCACACCATCGAGAAGGTCTTGGAAGACAAGAGCCCTAAGCCTGGCTACCAGGCGAACACACACGGAAAAATTTCCTTTGCTGAAACCGATGGGCCCAAAACCGATAGAACTGATTATACGATCAGCATGGACTTCGAGCTTGACATCGGTGAGGTGAACTTGAACTACGAGAAGGAGAAGAACATCTTTGTTTTGGATGCGTCTGCGCTCACAGCCAGCATCATACCAAGCGTGGAGCCCGAATTTCCGGAGACGCTCGGCCTCGCACCCTTTGATCGGGCTGGTCAACACTTCAATATCATTGACCCCGAGCTCCAGGCCATTGTGTTTGATCCAGACCAAAAGCTACCAGCAAGAGGCCAGTGGACAAAGACCTGGAAGACACACTTGGAGCTGCTAGAAGGCACATACTATTACACAGCAAGAGAAATGAAGGGCATCAAGGAGGGCTCCGGCTCTTGCGCAGTTACCTTTCCGGATGGAGCTGTCACAAGGGTGGCTTACCAGGCAGAGCTGATTTTGCACTTGACCCGAGACCAACAGGGCTGCGAAGACAAGGCGCATTATGGTGCAGACATTGAAGTGGTGTTCACTTGCGCGATTAGTGGCCACAAAGCCGCTCCTTTCGGGTTCATAGCAACAACACAAAGCTTGCGTTAACCAAGCTTGCGTTGATTTCCAGGCTACAATCGCCGAAGGCGATTGGGCTGAGATCGCAACAGAAAAGCTGATATCGAGCTGGCGGATTCAATTCAAGGTAGTTCGCTTTCCATCACCTGACGTTTACAAGACATATTCACAGAATTCTGCTATAAGTATATAAGTATGCTTTCTTCTTGAGATTTCTAAGGCTTTCCTCTGGAAATCTCTGCCTCGCAACCCACAGTTGCATTACCCAATGGAAGTGCGCTTCCATGAAGCCACACAAGCAGCTGAATTGTTGGACCTCCATCTTTCTGATTGCGAGGCAAATGCAAACAACAGGGCCTAAACCATCCTAAACCTTAGACCTACAGTTCAAGCTTGAACAGGACAAAGGTGTCCACGAATCAGTTGAGATTGTTTCTTTGGTTTGGACCGCTGTCTCTCATGTTGTTTTTTGGCAGTAGAGACTGTTTGCTCTTCAAGGTTCTTGAAACTTTTTGCGACTCAACATAAATCCATCGCATCACTGTGACTGGGCGTATGGCAGATCCAGTGCACACCCTCTTTGAGTCGGTCTCCACGAGCGCAGTGTGGAGCGCAGTGTGCAAGCCTGAGAAGAGGTATACCCGTGGTATACCATGTATACCAAGACTTGGCACGACACTGCTGAAGCTTGTGCATCGTTCTCGTTTTGTCACGCCTCGGCCTCTCAACGCATGTTCGGTCTCCAGCTTCCTTTGGCTTCAACACTAGACTTTCCTGTGGGCCACCACTCATTGGAAGAGCACAAGAGGGTTGACATGTTCTCAACATTTCAGCACAAGATCGAATTCTTAAGTGTTTGAGTCTTGAAAGACGCGCAGACTGAGTCTTGAAGCAGCCAGCGCCTGAATCGGAATGCCCTGTTTCAAAAGCGTGCCTGTTTCGGCTCAATTGATCAAGGACCACAGTCATTCGAAGGCCCATGAATTTGGCGCCGGGGAACTTGCCAAGTTCTCGGACAGTGATGTTCAACAGGGAGATAGACGTCCAAAACCTGAAAGAACTACAGGACCTTCCAGAGAAGCGACGTGAAGGTCGAGCGCAAGAAATCCGGAGTGGTGTGAACTTCTTGCAGAGAGCACCCAGATTCCCAGCCAATAGGCGCTGTGTGGACCTTCCCTGGGTCATTCTTTTTTTGCTCACCGTGCTTGCACTCATTGTGTTCAGTGCCACTTCCATAGACGACCTCCAAAAACAGTCCGCAGAGCCCGCAGAGCCCAGGGTTTTGGCGTTCCAGGGTGACGTGGATGGATATGAACCAGTGCAGTATGTGGATGACGGCTTTGGAGGGTCTCCTGATCCATCCTATGACGCGCCCATCTCGTCAGGAGATGGAGCTCCATTCGAGCGAGATGGCCCAAACGGGGTTGAGAATATTCACCTGTCAAAGTCTCAAGCAAAGCATCTCATCCTTGCAGTGTCTTTGGCAGGTATTGCCGGTGCTTTTGGTGGCTTGATTTCGGCATCCTTGTGGATCCTGGCCGCCAAAACCTGTGCCAGTGCGGTGGTCTATACTTCGCTCTACACCGTGCCCAGCATCATTGTGCTCGTAGGGATCGTGTTGCTCGTGGCTGGTAGTGTTCAGGGTGGCCTCATTTGTTGCCTTGTTGGGGTGCTTTTGTTCACGCTGGTGATGTGGTGCTGGGCTCGTTACATTCCTTTCACCATTGAAGTTGCTCAGATGGTGGCTGCAGCTTTCAGTGAGAACTTGGAAATGGTGGCCATCTCTGCATTTGGGGGCTTGCTCGGTCCAATTTGGGTCATTTTGGTGGTTGTTGCCTATGCAGCTTGCGAGTTGAAGCTGACCGGCAATTTGTCAGATGGTGAAGGCAAAGAAAGCAGTGATGCATTCTATCCATTTTTCTTTGTGTGCGTGTGGGGCAGCGGAGTTATCCAGAACATTTGCCACGTGGCTTACTGCGGTGTGTTCAGCAGATGGTACTATGAGGAAGAAGGGGCGCCGCTTCTGAAAAGCCTTCAGGTGAGGTTGCTCAAAAGTCCAGGGATAATCTTGGTTGACCCCTTGACAAAGATAGCAGTCGGAAGTGGCAGATCACAATTTCCATCATGTGACATGTAAATCATTGTAAATCCGCTAGCATTACCGTAAGTGGTTGGACTTTGCATTGCCACATGTGTTTTTCAAGAGGTCTTCTGTTTGTTTAATAACCTGCGTCGGATGCCTTACAAGTTCAGAGTCCCAATAATGACGTAAACAGTTGCCCAACTTGGTAGCACCATGGCTTCTGATGCGGGCTTACCCTGGAGGTGGCTCTAGGAACCTCGTTTGGCAGCATTTGCCAAGGCACCCTGATCATTGCCGCCATCAGTACTGTGGAAACTGCGGTGCGAAGTAGCCGACGCCAGGCTCAACAGGATGGCAACATGGTGGGCTGTGTGATTTCTCTCGTTTTGGAATGTTTTCTCAGTTGCATTGGTGATTTGATGGAATACTTCAATCAATGGGTCTTTGTGCTGTGCGCCATCCGTGGCGGCACGTTTTGCGATTCCGTGAAGGGCACCTGTGCGATGATCTCTTGCAGCGGGATGAAGGCCGTTATTGGAGACCTGCTGATTGATCGGGTTGTGATGCTGGGATCCATCCTTAGCGCCATTGCTGGAGCTGGCCTTGCAGCTCTCGCCGCCTGCTTGGCTGCCACGGATGCTGGTCAACAACTGTCTAAGGCAGACATCATTGGTCTTTGCAGCCTCCTTGGATCGCTGACCGGGTTGATCTCAGGTGGAGGAGTCATGGGAATCATGAGTAGTGGGACGAAGGCCATTTTGATGTGCTGGGCCGAGGATCCAGATCGCTTACATCAAGATCATGGCTTCGAGGATGTGCACGAAGAACTCAGCAACAAAGCCCGTGAATGGAAGTAATCAAGGAGGGCGTTGTTGAATACAACCCGACAAACAGCATGCACGACGTTATTTTCCACCCCCGCGCCAAGTTTTACTTTAGTACAGACGGTGCAGCATGGGAGCAGAGTCATGTCAATCCGCCGTTTTGTGGCCTTCTACTTTTAACAAGAAGGTTCAAGACGGCGTTGCAAAGCTGACAATTGAACACAAAGAGATCAGGTCCAGCGGCACGCATTGTTGGCCAAGTGTTGCATCATGTTCACATTTAGAGCCAAGTGCACCAGAAAGTTTGCATATACAAGTTGTCCAAGTGTTACTGAGGTGTGAAGCTCTACTCTCAAGATCGTCATGAGATGTCTGAATGCCCGGAGCTTCCAGAGCTGCGCCATGTCCCTCTTGAAATGTTGAAAGCCCCCAAACTCTAGGTGTCCACTCTATATGAACTAAATAGCCACAACAACAACAACACGACGATTCTTAGGAGCACCAAAACAAGAAGCATGTCTTCGCTCTCGGATGCCACGTTCAGCTGACGACTTTCAACAGGCCGAAGAGGGAATCGCCGATTCGCGCGTATTGCCACCAGTTTTGGTTGGTAGAGGCCGGAAGATGTCCATGTCAATTTCTTGCTTCTTTGTATGTGTATGTGATTGTATGTGTGCACAGTTGTATATATACTATATATATACACATCGATCCGACTTGGGACTTCACGACGTTTTGTTTTTAGGTTCAGGATGGTGAAGTAGCTTACCACGCACGTGTGTAACTGATTCAATGGGAAAAGTCACATAGAATCTAACCAATCAATATGAATCAATCAACTTCATCCAAGTCCCCCCAAAAAGATGACATCTGGTGACGCAAGGCAGGGATTTTGAGGCTAGACTGCAGAATGATACAGTAGGCCTTTCTGCTCGAGCTTAAACCGTGTGGCTGGTTCTGGGGGTCGGAAATCGCACTTGTTGGAGTTGTGCTTAGTCACGTAAGCAACTTCACAAGAGGGGTTTGACCAATGATGTAGCAACACCAAGACAAGGCGATCGAGGCGACCCAAGTTTGTTTATAAGGGCTTTCCAGTCCAGTGGCCCGTGTCAGTGTAGTGACTGCGTGCAGCTTGTGCCAGGTGAGCTGTCTTCAGCTGATGCAAACTCCCGCTTGGGCTGCAAAAACGTGGCCCTCTGTACAGATTGCTAGAAGGAACTGAAGCCAAATTGGTGCAGCATGGCCATCCAGGGAAACATATACTATGAGGACGTGGCATGAGAAAGCAAGGGTAGCCTTTTGCTCCGAGACCCTTATTTATTTGTTTCATGTCCAGGCCGGAGATAATTTGGAGCCTTTGTCTCCAACTGAGTTGCGACTTTGGAAACTCTCCCATGGGACGATGTGCCCTTGTAATCCAAGTAGACTTGAGACAGTAGGCCGTGCGTGCCCTTCTAGTCCAAGGCCTGCGGGATTGGAACGAAGTCCTGAAAGAAGCTGCCTCCTGGCTGTATTTGGCTGTATCTGGGAGGCTGTTGAGAGGTGCCATTTATTTTGGAGATGCTTCTTTCTCCTCCTGCTTGGAAAGGATCAGAAGAATGACAATCCGAATCCTCTTTGCTGAGCTCATCGGAATGTTTGTGCCATCTATCTTCCACTGATCTTTCACACCTCCTGAATTTGAGGCTTCTTGGTTGATGCCAACAGCCTTAGGAGACCGCTCAGAATGCCGTTGCCGAACTCGGGTGTTGGCTCAACTGCCCTGTACGACTCGAAACAACGCTATAGGATGCTATAGGTGTTGTGTCGCACTCCAATAGATTCAGACAGAATAGAATCAGTTGCATCAAGAACTCATAGAAGGCCACCACCTTTCATGCCACATGTTCAAACAAGTATCAAATAGTCAAATAGTTAATCTTGCACCGTTAGTTCCAGCCAAGAATTTGAATGCGTGTTTTCCTACATCAAAGCAGTTCCAGGAGTGAAAATATGCCCCGCGGAGGCGCCTTTGGGCCAAAAGTCTGTGTCACCATGTCACCATGGTTCACTGGAACAGAAGATCGCCAAATCAGGTTGGGATTCTCGAAGCATCGTAACACTGGATATCACTTGGACACTCATGTGTCAGCAGATTCTTCAAGACACCGCCATGCCGCAATCAGGTTCCAGCAGCGATGCGCCCCTCTCGGCTCCCATCGAAGTGCCCTACCAGGAGCTGCGGCAGGTGAAGGCGCGAAGCTGTGCGAAGAACATGCCATGGACATCCATGGACCATGGACCATCGGTGGACATCGGGTGAAGGGGTCCATGGGACATCATGGGACCATGGATCTGTGCTTTCGCTGAACCGAGTGACTGGTGTCCAGGCCGAGCTCCAACGCTTCGATGAGCAGACGCAGTTGGATGTGAAGGAGTTTCGGCATCGCATCGCGGAGGCCGATCGTGTGACACGATGCCGATTGACGCAGCACACGTATATTGCTCAAAATCCCACAGCTTGTGGTTGTCGTTGTTGCTGCACGTACTTTGGGAACTACCCCTCATCATTCCATCGCTTTGGGAAGACTGAAGCAGAGCATCACCAGCTCAGGTGTTGATATTTTTTAAAGAATTGGTTGCAAGTTGCAAGTCGTTCTTTGTTTATGAAGCGACAGTGGGAGCAGAATGGCCCTAGCCGCTGCTAGCGCTTTCCGTTTTTTCTCAGGCCGAGCGGGAGCTCTCAGGTCTTTTGAGGAGCACCGCAGAGTTTCGGAAGGAGGTGGGGTCCGCCTGCGATGAATGGTTGTTGGTTGAAATGAGATGTAATGAGAGGCGATGGCACTCAGAAGTTCGTTGTGTGTGAAATTGATGTTCACACCGCAGAGCAGAATTGCACTTGACTTATAACTTAACACAATTAACAGGTGTAAAGTCAGGTGTAAGTATAATAATCAGCTTTTTCGAGCATTTACCTTGCTGCAGGTGGATGAGGGTGAAGCAAAATGGCACAAACATCAGAGCTACAAGAAGGCCTGCGACTGAGATGGGGGGCCGCTTCCACCCGCTTTAGCCAGCTGACCAGAGGTTTTGATGGATGCTGTGCAGGCTGTCAGGGCCTCAAAGTCTAAGTCAAAAGCCAGCAATGTGTTGAGATGTCAGGAGGTTGATGCGTATTGTAGGCTCTTCACTCCTGATTCCAATAATGGGTTGAACAGCCTCTTGAGGCTCGGCGGGATAGAAATATCATCAAGAGTCTATATACATGTCTACATTATGAGATCGGACGCTACGAACGGGGCTCCTGGCCTTACTACTAGGAACAAGAAGCTAGGGAGCAAAGGAGCAAACGATGAGGCCTTCTTGGTGCCATTTTTGTGGCAACTTTAGGCCTTGGATTCCACCAAGCCCTCCGAACCCATGGAGCATGCTCCTCATGCGCCTTGGCCTGGTCCGACCGTGTCGGTTTGTCGGTTCTGCGACCTCGTGGGGGGGGAAGTTGAGACAGGGATTCTTCGGTGCTTGGACATTTACATAGTATATGCATGTCGCACAAATAAACATAGATATAATATACTTGGATTTGAAGCTCACAAGCTTGTTGCATTGAATGATGCAAGCAGTTCTAGGATATTGAACCAATGTGTTTGTCAAACTGATATGCGTTGTATCTCTGAGACTTCGCCACATGTCCGCAATTCATGGAGGAGGTTCTACTGGCTCTTGTAGCAGGTCTACACATTCAACGCCTTCCTCAAACCAACTCTTCAGAAGACCGGGGAGTTCAGAAAGATAATCTCTCCCCACCCCACCCTCAATAGCAACATCTTGCACGATGTCAGCTCTAGATCGCAGCGGTCCTAGATGCGCTAAATGGTCCGGCCTTAATGTCCGCAGTCAACAACAAAGCGTGCTCAAATCCATCACTGCATTTTTGTTGCAATCAATGCAACGCCCACTGTTCCAGAGCATTGGTGGTTTGCACAACTCATCGACCAAACATCAGCGTAGCAAATGATGAAACATGCAACACCCACGGACTGCAAGCCGTCGTAGTTTTACTGGGCAGAACAATGCTGCACACTCAAAATGTCCAAGGACAATGTCCTTCTGTGGTCTAAGGTTGCCCCGAGGCTGCCAAAAAGAGGCGTCCAAAAGATTCACAGGAAGTGAGTTTCCACGAAAGGCAGATCATCTTGATAACCTAAATGTCGATAATGTCGCCACAATGGTACCCACCCCTCCGCAAAGCAAAGTTCCGGCATCATCCTTATGTGACATGTTGCAACAATAAACGCAACATAGCACAACCCTATCACTCGCCTAGTCCCGGCAGTCCCGGCCTGACCCCACCCTGGCTTGCTGACAAAACACCTTTATAGCATGTTCTTCTGCGATTCTAATTGCCGTGCTTTGACATTTGCATGAGGGTGCGCGAAGATAGTCCAGCTTTTATGTCGGATGTTGGACCAATGTTGGACAGCGACAGGTTATGACAGGTTTACTGCTTACCGCAGCTTCTGCAGTGTCTTCTGCGATCGGCTTTGCCATGATCCACATTCACAAAATCTCCGGAGAAGAGGTTGTAGCACTGGATGAGCACACCATCGAAAGTCTCATCGGTGACTACGGAAATTGTGTGAGGGGCTTGAAATATTTCTGCGAGCCTTTGGTGGATGCCAGCATCCACAGGCAGCGGCTGCTCTTCAAGGGTGAAACCTTAAGTGATCACCAAAAAGTCTCACACTTGCCAAGGCCGTCGGATCTTCAGGTAGTGATCCTCCCTTTCGTTGAGGTTGACCCTGACTTGAGAGCCGAAGTTCTCGAGGCCATTTTCCAAGACGAGGGGATGGAATTTGAAATGCTTTTACGGATGCCAATTGATCCCAATACAACATTTGAGGGCCGTGACTTGGAACCTTATTCCCTTGCCAGTCCTGAACTTGGTGACGAACCTTCCCTTTTGAGTGTGGCATCTTTTAATTGTCGTCTTGACATGGTCAAGGCCTTGCTCAATGCAGGTGCAGACACCCAGCAGAGGACCACCCCTGGCTTGACTCCTTTGCACCTGGCATCCCTGTCGCGAGACTCACAGGTCGCAGGTGTTTTGTGTGCCGCCCACGCCGACAAGGATGCGCAAGATCCATTTGGCCGAACACCCTTGTGGTTCGCCGCCCTCGGCGATGATTCGCTGATGGTTCACACATTGCTCAGAGCACGAGCCAACGCAGACATTGCAGGGGACGAAATGCAAACACCCTTGTGGATGGCCTGCGTTAAGGAAGCCCACGGGGCGGTGTTGCTTTTGCTTGGTGCTGGGGCCAATGCGAACATCTCTGATGACGCGGGCCGATCTCCCCTTTTTATGGCAAGTGGAGCTTCGAGCACACGCATTGCAGAACCATTGCTGAAGGCTAAAGCAGACTTTGGGCAAGCAGACTTGTTGGGTCGATCTCCCTTATGGATTGCCTCCTGGTCGGGACGTTTGCCGATCGTGAAGCTCCTGGTGAAGGCCAAAGCAGATTTAGACCAGCTCGACGTCGATGGGCGATCCCCCCTGTGCATTGCCCGGCAAATGGGCAAAAAGACGGTGGTGAAGTTCTTGGAGAGCGCCGCCAGCGCCCGAAGGGCGCCAAAGGGCGCCAAGGGACCGTTCAAGAAGCCTGCGAAGAGCAGGAGCCGAGTGACGAAGAATGAAAAAGTTAGAGCGATGAGATGGCGGATGTGGAGTAATTAATAAGTTAGATGCAAATTAGATCTAATTATCATGAATTATCCATGTCACGCCAAACTCATGAGGCACCTGATGCAGATACAGGGACTTGGTCCATTTTTGAAGTGACCAGACCACGCATGCCTGGGCGGAGGATGATGATCTCTGTGATCCAACCCAATATGGATCTCATCATGTGTTCTCCAACGTTGCCAAGGAACTGCTGATCGACTGCCGGGAGAAGTCGGAGAGCTCAATGGGTTTTCGAATCTGAGAGCTCAATGCTCGTCTTACGTCTTAGACATTGCAAACCGTCTACTGCACTGCAGTGTGTGGCCATGTCAACTATGTGAACCAGCACTGGGGATGGATGCACCAAGGAGGAAGGATACCATGTATATAGACTGCATCCTTCCAGGCTCCACAGGCTTCAACATGACATGCTCGACGCAGACCGGAAGCGGAAGGCCGAGAAACACTCATTCAGCGCAAGAGGACGGTAGGATAAACACATTCAAAGCAAGGTAGGGGCTGCTCACTTGTTATTTTCTGAGGGTCTTTGACCCTGAGAGAATCTGAAAATCGTATGACATGCTTCGATGCGGCAACAGTACCTGTTGGTGTAGAATGGGGGGCCCACTGACAGGATAGATGCACTTGCTTCGTCGCTGGCGAATGGTTGGAAATGAACTTAGTAATTGGATGGTTCGCTTTTTGTGTCTAGGCATTGCTGAAGGAGCCAGTGGCTCAGAGATGCCTGCATTGGATGATAGGACATCTATCTTTGACACACTGTTCCAGGCCACTTTGAATTGAACGGGACATTAGAAGGGCTGTAACGGACTGTGCGTGCTCTTGGTGCTGTGGCATCGCATAGACTTCATTCATACAGGTCGAATGCTCTTGCAGAAGACATTGCTGAGCTCAAGGAGGCCGAGCTGTGGGCTGGTCTTCGTCAACACGTCGAGTTGGACCTCCGAAGACTGCGAAGCAATACCACCGGGCGAGGTGAAAGCACGCTCGATGACTCAATTGCAGTCCTTCTTGGAGCTCCGAAGCCAGCAGAGGTTGGGAAATGGATGACGGCACACGTGGCCATTTGTTGCCCAAGTTGGTTTATATATATATAATATATATAACTCTTTTGAGAAGATGTTTGCCAGGGTGTTGCTCAAAGCTTTCTCGTTCTTCTGTGGTTCTGTGTCTTTGGGCCGTTGTGGTGCGTAATTGTGGAATGTGGTTACATGTTTGTGTCTGTGGTTTGTGCATGTGTCTCCATGTTTGAAGTTTGGCACGGCATTGCCCAACTCTGTCCTTTTGTTTTGTGTCGCGGCGGGCCTTGTTTGCGACACGTTTTGGCGACACTTCGAGTCCTGAGGTTCGGCTTGCAAACATTGTTATCATTGTTCTTTTTTTCCGGAGGCAGGGGAAACTGAAGAATGCCTTTGCCCAGCTGCTGCCCATGATGCCGTTGGACTTAAGCAGCTCCTTGCAGCGCATGGTCTTTAGATTTGGGCAGTTCTGTTGATGTTGGAACCGCAGCTATGTATGTGGGATCCAGTTTGCCAGTTGCGATTGCCTTGTGAACTCAGGCTTTCTTGAAGGAGCTGCGTAGTAGCGAAAAAGTGAACAGTTAAACTTAATTACTACTAGCTTCTTGTTACTACCAGTAAGGCACTTGTTACTAGAAGCGATGCACTTGTTACTAGTAGCTTAAGGAGGTCAGATTTTTGATTGCGCATGCCATGTGCTTCAGAATCCAGCTTGAGTGTGTTGCCCAGCTGTTGCTTGCTCAAGTATGCTCAAGTTGTTCGGCGTGACTGTGGCCACGCTGGCTTTCATTTTCCGTGCCGATGCGCCCTTCTGA